AGAATTTTAGACACTCAGATGCAAAAGTCAGTTTTTGAAGTGATTTTCAAGCATCTAAGTACCCAAAACTCAAAACTTATACCATTAACTCATTTTGAGGCTTGAACCAAGTCCAATGGACCAAAATATACTTGATTGAGCATTCAAACACACAAAAACATACCAAACATAAAATTTGGCCACTTAATGCCCATTTCACCCAATATGGCCAAGATATAAAATCAACATCATATATACTATTTGGCCTCTATTGCCACATAATACACTACATATACATAGTCACCCCATAGATCAAACATTCCTTGCACTTTTATTAGTATTTTAACCTATCACCATAAAAATTGCCACATATTCACATCATATACAATATTGGCTAAAATATAAAATAACATAGTATGAAACAAGTACAACCAATCAAAATGATATGCATTCCTAGTTGGCAACATATAATGTCATCCATATAAGTTTACATACACGACTCAAAATAAAATTGGGCTTTACGATGAGAATGTAGCAAGTATGCTAGCCCTTGCCCGATTCCTTCCCTTGCTCAGTCTCAATGGTAAAACCTATAAAATGATAACCACGGGGTGAGATAAAAATCTCAATAACTAAGACAATCTACATTATTGATTAATATGCTAAGTTATAAACAAGCCTTAAATCAAAAAAAATAAACACACCATATAAAATCACCACAAGTTACATGCATGATCCCTAACCATCCGATCCTCCAAAACTCCCGACCGAACTGGTAGGCTATTTCACAGAACCAAACCATATGTATGGTCTCCAAGCTCACAATCTATGGTAGAACTACCCAGCCAAGGTGTCCTAAACCACTTATGGACTACTGGTTCCCCTTATTACAAGTAATTGGAGTGTCGTTACTCCAACACCGCATCCTACGGATGCTAAGGAACATATTCTCCAACTCCACACCCTTTTGGGTACTAAGGAGAGTAAGTCTCCAACACTGCACCCATTTTCAAGCACTAAAGAGAGTAAGTGCTGCACCTAGCGTCCCGTGGTGCCAGTAGTGCCATATGGACTTAATCTTCCCTACTCCACTGGGGTGACCTCCCACCATCTAATATGCCACATTTTGCTACATATCTCCACTTGACCTTACATAAACAACTTTCTAAACAAATATAACAAATCTTACTATTTACTTTAAAAATATGGAATTTCACAAATAATACTCCACTCATTTTCTAAAATAGTTAACCTTTACAAAATTTATAATATATACACAACAAATAATAGAAAAGAAACTTGAGACTAACTTATACAAGGTAATAAATAATGCAAATTGTCTAGTTACCTCAACCCTTTTGTTACTAAAAGGGTTACCCATGGTACTAAATCTCTTCTTGTATTAAGGAAAACCTTCCCACATCATAATCTACATCAACAAGTACTATATATTAATTTTCAATTAACACAAGCACTATAGCTACCAATAACGTCCCATTTCTCCTACTTCTCACTCATATTCTCAACAAAGAGGCTTGCTAAGATTACAATTTGTTCACACAATCCCTTCAAGCCTCCCTCTAACTCTATCACAACATAACACTTAATATCTCAACTTATCACACTTCAAAACCCTATGATCAAGTTAGGGCTTGATTTAAATTCCACCAAACAACAAAGTAGCTTCATATTACCACATATCCAAGATTAATAAACCTAAATCAAACCTTTGGAGTTAATAGAAACCTTCAAAACATAGACTCATAGCTTAATCCATTCAAAGCAAATTCTCCTACTTTCAAATCTTATGGAAAATGAGATGAAAAGGTAGAGGAGAAAGTTAGGAAACTTACTTAAGAGTTTGAAGGCTCAAATTATCTTCAAAATCCTCCTAAAATGATGCCCTAGCAGTGCCCAAAGCTTGCCCTTTTGTGTTTTAGGTTTCTGACCATCAAAACTATCATTTTTTAATGATTTTCAAAAATTTAAGTTGTTTGTTGTGCCGTGTGCCACAGTGCATGCTACAAAAGCCGCACCGTGGCTGCGCCTCATGGCGCAGCAAGCAAAATGTCAATTTTGCTCCCCCAATGCCTCCCAACTTGATCCGACTTCCATCCTAACTCAATTTAGAGCCAAATATGATCTAAAAAGCAAATTAGCAACCTAAAAACATAATTAAATAAATTAATCATCTTTGTTTAACTAATTTATCCCTTAATTATTAATTTTTCTAGATTTAAAGTTTTCGGATGTTGCAATTCTCCCCTCCTTTAAAGGAATTTTTCCCCTAAAATTCAACAACAACCACAACACATACCCAGGGAAATAGATAGGGATATTGCTGCTTCATTTTGTCCTTTGTCTCCCAAGTAGCATCACCAGGAGCCATTCCTTTCCACACAACCTTAACTAGTCGAATAGTCTTGTTCTACAATTACTTATCTTTAACATCTACTATTCATTCTAGCTCTGCTTGATAAGTCATATTCTCTTGCAGCTCTACCTCTTTAGGTTCAATCACATGAGATAGATTAGGTTGATATTTCTTCAATTGAGAAACATGAAAAACATCATGAATTTTAGATAATTATGGTGGCAAGGTGATTTGGTAGGTAATTGGCCTAACTTTCTTAAGGATCTCAAATGGACCCATGAATCGACGAGATAATTTCTTTACTCGGATTGACCTCCCAATTCTCGTCACAAGTAAAACTCTTAGAAAAACATGGTCACCAACCATAAACTCCAACGGCGTTCTTAGTCTATCTGCATAACTCTTCTGCCTATTTTGAGCTGTTAGAAGTTTCTACCTTATCATTTGAATCTTTTGCGTTCTTTAATCCACAATATTTGGACCCATAATGCTTCTCTCACTCAGTTTGACCCAACAAAGAGGAGATCGACATTTCCTTCCATATAATGCCTTATAGGGAGCCATCCTTATACTGGAGTGGAAATTATTATTGTAGGCAAACTTAGCCAAAGGAAGATGGCTATCCCAGTTGCCTCTCAATTCTAAGGCACAAGCTCTCAACATGTCCTCTAGAGTCTGTATAGTCCTTTCTATCTGTCCATTAGTCTGTAGATGATACGCGGTGCTGAATCTTAATTCAGTACCCATTTCTCTCTGAAACACTTTCCAAAAGTTCAAAGTGAACCTCAGATCACGATCAGAGACAATGTCCTTTGGCATCCCATGTAGTCTCATAACTTCTCGAATGTATATCTCTGCCAACTTCTTTAATGAATCACTTATTCACACTGCCAAGAAATGGGCTGACTTTGTCAATTTATCTACTATCACCCAGATAGAATCATAACTGGATTGAGTTCTTGGTAATCCCGAAATGAAATCCATAGATATACTATCCCACTTATACTTCGGTATCTCTAGTGGTTGTAAAGTTCTTGTTAGTCTCTGATGCTCGATTTTAACTTTTTGACAAATTAAATATCGAGACAGAAAATCTATAACATCCCTTTTCATTCCAGGCTACCACCAATACCGCTTCATATCCTGGTATATCTTAGTTGCTCCAGGGTGAATTGTATATCTACTCTTATGTGCCTCATTCATAATTTTCTTTCTTAAATCACCTTCATCTGGACACAACAAATCCATCATCACTGACACCAAAGTCTGTGGTTTGCCTTTCTTCCATATCTTCTCGAATTTTCAGTAGATACTCATCCTTAAGCTATGCTATCCTTAACTCTCTCCAAAACTCATTGGTAATCTTTATGAAATGTAAACTATACAAAGTTAATATCGATAGGTCATGCTGAATATCCAAGTAGGATTCCAGTAATTTGTACTCTTGTACCATTAGACAAGTGACATGCAATGACTTTCGACTTAAGGCATCTGTAACCACATTTGCTTTCCCCGGATGGTATTTAAATTCAAAGCTATAGTCCTTCAAGAACTCCATCCATCTTCTTTGCCTCATATTAAGTTCTTTCTAATCCACTAAATATTTTAGGCTCTTGTGGTTACTGAAAATACTGAACACTACTCCATACAAATAGTGCCACCAAATCTTTAGTGTAAACATAACTGCGGTAAGCTCTAAGTCATAAGTCAGGTAATTCTCTTCATGTGGCCTGAGCTGTCTAGAGGCATAAGCCACTACTCTCTCATCTTGCATCAACACACATTCTAAACCCTTCAAAGACGCATTCGTATACACTTCATATGGCAATTGTGGATTAGGAATAATCAACACTGGTGTCGTAATCAGTTTCTCCTTCAACTTTTGAAATGCGATCTTGCACTTGTCATTCCAAATGAACAGCTGATCTTTTTGTGTCAACCTAGTCAATGATGAAGCTATATGAGAGAAACCCTGGATAAATCTGCGATAATATCTAGCTAATCCTAAAAAACTCCATATTTCAGTCACAAAACTAGGTCTCTCCTACTTCAACACCGCATCCACTTTATGCGGATCCACCGTAATCCCTTCCGCTGACATATGTCCTAGAAATCAGACCTCCCTTAACAAAAACTCATACTTACTAAGCTTGGCATAGAGCTTGTTATCCTTTAAAATTTGTAGCACAGTCCTCAAATGCTTCGTATGTTGTTCCTCATCTTCAGAATATATCAGAATGTCATCAATGAATACCACAATAAACTGATCCAGGTAAGGCCTAAATATACAGTTCATGTAGTCCATGAAAATCACAGGCACATTTGTTAACCCAAATGGCATTACCAGGAACTTATAATGCCCATATTTGGTATAGAAAGCCGTCTTGGGCACATCCTCCAGACACACTCTCAATTAATGGTATCCTAACCTCAGGTCAATTTTTGAGAAAACTGAAGCTCCCACCAATTGATCTAACAAATCATCGATCCTTTGTAAAGGATATTTGTTCTTCACTATCACCTTATTCAACTGTCTATAATTAATACATAGCTGTAAGCTGTCGTCCTTCTTCTTAACAAACAGCACAGGTGATCCCCAAGGTGACATACTAGGTCTAATAAATCCCTTTTTAAGTAACTCCTTTATCTACTTCTTCAACTCAGCTAGCTCAGTTGGTGACATCCGATATGGTACCTTTGAGATTGCTTCAGTTCCTGGCACTAGGTTTATCGTGAATTCTACTTCCCTTTCCGGAGGCAAACCAGACATATCATTCATAAATACCTTAGAGAATTCATTCACTACCCCAATCTTATCAATACTTCCATTGTAGACCCCATGCATTGAGAAGAAAACCATATAAGCCATACACCCTTGTTGCATCAGTTTCTCTGCTTGCACCACTAATAAAAACTTAGACTTACTAGGAATATTAGCTAGTGCAGTATGTACCGATAATAAAACTGTCTTCCTAGCACAGTCCAAGGTGGTATTATTTACCATCAACCAATCCATACCAATAATCATGTCCAAACGCTTCATAGGAATCTGGATTAAATTGAGAGTGGTCAAATAATTTTCAAACCTCACTTCTACATTCAAACATGCTTTTCTAGTCATATCAGATGACCCAGATGGCGTAGACACTTTAATCACAAAAGGCAATTCATGCAAAGGAAGTCCCAACCTCTCTACGCATTCATATGAAATAAATGATTGTGTAGCATCAAAATCAAACAATGCTTCAATTTTTTGCTCATAGATAGAAATAATACCTTTTATCAAATTTAGCAATGCTCTTGCCTCCTCCTAAGATAGTGTGTAAACTCATCCTGGAATGGTAGATCTCTACTTTTCCATCTCCACTCTTCCCTTGGGGTACTGTCTTGCCAAATGGCTGGGTTTCCCACATTTAAAACATACCCAGCACCTCTCAAGATGTGACCGCCCACACTTAGCACATAGTGGTGATCAAGTTGTACTCAAAGTTAGGGCAGGCATATTAGAATCCTGTTAGGATGGTTGTGGAAGACCCAAAATTCTAAATCCGTCCCTCTGAAATGTTCCTCGAGTCTACAATCCTCTAACAAAACTCTTCTTGCTTGATACTCCAGAACTACTCGGGCCATAACTAGTCTTCTTGGAGACTCCTCCAGAGGCGCTTAGGGAGGATGAGAACCTCCCATGACTATCCCATCTCCTTTTTGCTTCTACTTCCTCACCCCTTCTTGCTACAATTTAGAGTCGATTACACATGTCAGTATACGTGGTTACTCCTAGTAAAGCAATCTATTGTCTATATTCAAGCCTCATCATTTCCAAAAGCCTCCTGGCCTTCTACTCACTATCATTTATCTCATTCAGATGAGTAAAAAATTTAGATAGCTGATTAAACTTCTGAATAAATGCTTCCTCGTCAAGATCTCCCTATCGAAATGCATGAAACTCGACCTCCTTCTCATCTCTAAATGATGGAGGAAAATGATAATCAAAGAACATTTCCTTGAATTGTTCCCAAGTTAACTGACATCTATCCATTGGTCTTGTGGAGTTCCACCAGTATTTAGCATCCTCAACTACATATACAGTGGCTATAATCACCTTTTATTTTGTAGAGCACGGTACTACCTCAAAGATGGTTTCAACTCTCTCTACCCATTTCTTCTCTTCTCCTTCCTTCATAGTTCCATTAAAGGTTAGAGGGTTAAACTGAAAGAAAGTCCTCCATGCTCTATTAATAGCTATCCCTTGAGCATCTCCATCCGCTCTAGTCCCAGACAATCCAAGCCTACTACTGAAATCATGAGATGGTTCCAATCTACTTTCATGAGCTTCCTCTGGTCTCCTTTTGTCCTCCTCATGACCTCTATTACAAAGCAGAGTGTCATGGTCTTGAACAGTTCTCTAAATATACGTCATCATATCCTGTAATTCTTCTAGAATTGCATTATTACCCTAGGGTCTTTGTTGTTATTCTACTTGTATCTCTGGCTATACCTCTGGTATAGGCCGATCATTCTCAATAAATTACCAAGTAAATTGCTAGCATTCAGGTGCTTCTTCTAACCATTTTTCTCCCCTCTTAAGGAAGAAGCCAAATAGAGAAGGGGAATTAGTGGGAAAATAAAGGAAATGAGACAAAGGGAAAGAGTTGTGTACATAAAGTTGCCAACTAATGAAAATGAATGCAATGGACACATCATCATAACCAAATCTTGAAACCTAAGAAACTAATACCAAAATGTAATGTCTACCTTGACATTACCAAAATTCATCACACAATCACAACAAACAATCATAATTAGAAGAAAGGATTTTCTCTCATGTTCACATTATAAATATAAGGGTTAAAACTAATAATCTTTTAGAAATAATTGTCAAATATTTGGGATCTCATAAAAACCTTTCAAATTTGTAGCTTGAGCTCAAATTTAATGATTTATAAAGGTATTGGAAGCATAGAAAAGTTTTGGGAAGCAAAACACTTCAAAACAGGGCCAAAAATGTCATTTTTGAATATTTTGGTCCATACGCCATGGCTCATGGTCCATGCGCCATAGAATATGGCAAAGAAAGGCAAGTTTGCTCATTGTACTATGCACTGCAGCTTGCATGAAGTGCGCAGCAGCGTATGTGTCCATGACAACTTTTCAGGACAAAATTCGAACGAGCGCCATTTTCACATCCGATATCCAATTGGAGTGATTCAAGCGCTCACATAAAGCTTATTCAATAAGCTAACTAATGGTATAAGTTTTGTTATGATCCAACACTGTATGAGAATTTTAGATGCTCAGATGTAAAAGTCAGTTTTTAAAGCAATTTTCAAGCATCCAAGTATCCAAAACTCAAAACTTATACCATTAACCCATTTTGAGGCTTGAACCAAGTCCAATAGATCAAAATACACTTGATTGAGCATTCAAACACATAAAAACATTCGAAACACAAAATTTGGCCACTTAATGCCCATTTTACTCAATATGGCCAAAATACCAAATCAACACTATATACACTATTTGGCCTCTATTACCACATAATACACTATATATACATTGTCACCACATAGATCAAACATTTCTTACACTTGTATTAGTATTTTAGCCCATCACCACAAAAATTGCCACATATTCACATCATATACAATATTAGGCTAAAATACAAAATAACATAGTATGAAACAATTGCACCCAATCAAAATGATATGCATTCCTTGTTGGCAACATATAATATCATCCATATAAGTTTATGTACATGACTCAAAATAAAATTAGGCTTTATGATGAGAATGTAGCAAGTATGCTACCCTTGCCCAATTTATTCCCTTGCTTAGTCTTAGTGGTAGAACCTGTAAAATGATAACCACAGGGTGAGATAAAAATCTCAGTAACTAAGATAATCTACATTATTGATTAACATGCCAAGTTATAAAAAAGCCTTAAATCAAGAAAAATAAACACACCATATAAAATCACCACAAGTTACATACATGATCCCTAACCATCTGATCCTCCAATACTCCTAACCAAACTAGTAGGCTATTTCACAGAACCAAACCACATGCATGGTCCCCAAGCTCACTATCCTAGGTAGGACTACTTGACAAAGGTGTCTTAAACCACGTTTGGACTGTTGGTTCCCCCTATTATAAGTAATTAGAGTGTCATTACTCTAATACCGCATCCTACGGATGCTAAGAAGCATATTCTTCAACTCCGTACCCTTTTAGGTACTAAGGAGAGTAAGTCTCCAACACCGCACCCATTTTCGGGCACTAAGGAGAGTAAGTGCTGCACCCGGCATCCCGAGGTGCCAATAATACCATATAGACTTAATCTTCTCTACTCCACTTGGGTGACCTCCTACCCTCTAATATGCCATATTTCACTCCATATCTCCACTTGACCATACATAAACAACTTTCTAAACAAATATAACAAATCTTACCATTTACTTCAAAAATATGGAATTTCACAAACCAATACTCCACTTATTTTCTAAAATAGTTAACCTTTACAAAATTTATACATATATACATAACAAATCATAGAAAAGAAACTTGAGAATAACTTATACAAGGTAATAAATAATGCAAATTATCTAGTTACCTTAACCCTTTTGTTACTAAAAGGGTTACCCATGGTACTAAATCTCTTCTTGTGTCAAGACAAATCTTCCCATACCATAATCTACATCAACAAGTACTATATGTTAATTTTCAATTAACATAAGCACTATTAGCTACTAATAACCTCCCAATTCTCCCACTTCTCACTCATATTCTCAATAAAGAGACTTACTAAGATTACAATTTGTTTATACAATCCCTTCAAGCCTCCCTCTAACTCTATCACAACATAACACTTAATATCTCAATTTATCACACTCTAAAACCCCATGATCAAGTTAAGGCTTGATTTAAATTCCACCAAACAATAAAGTAGCTTTATATTACCACATATCCAAGATTAATAAACCTAAATCAAACTTTTAGAGTTAATAGAAACCTTCAAAACATAGACTCATAGCTTAATCCATTCAGAGCAAATTCTCCCACTTTCAAATCCCATGGAAAATGAGATGAAATGGTAGAGGAGAAAGGTAGGAAACTTACTCAAGAGTTTGAAGTCTCAAATTATCTTTAAAATCCTCCTAAAATGATGCCCTAGCAGTGGCCAAAGCTTGCCCCTTCGTGTTCTAGGTTTTCGACCACAAAAACTGTCATTTTTTGATGATTTTCAAAAATTTAAGTTTCCTGTTGTGCCATGTACTACAGCGCATGCCACAAAAGTTGTGACTCATGGAGCAACGAGCAACCCCTTAATGCCTCCTGACTTGATTTGACTTCCATCCTAACTTAATTTAGAGCCAAATATGACCCAAAAAGCAAATTAGCAACCTAAAAACATAATTAAATAAATTATTCATCTTTTTTTTAACTAATTTATCCCTTAATTAGTCAATTTTTCTAGATGTGAAGTTTTCAAATGTTACAATTTTCAAGTTGTTCTTGCATGATTTGTTATATATATATATGTATGAATTTTGTAAAAGTTAACTATTTTAAAAAATGAGTGGACTATTGATTTGTAAAATGTCAAGTTTTTGAAGTAAGTGGTGATAATCATTATATTGGTTTTGAAAGTGGTTTATACATGGTCAAGTGAAGATATGTAGTGAAATGTGGCATATTAGAGGGTGGGAGGTCACCTTAGTAGAGTTAGTGAAGATTAAGTCCATATGACACTGCTGGCACCTCGGGACACTAGGTGCAGTACTTACTCTCCTTAGTGCCCAAAAATGGGTGCGGTGTTAGAGACTTACTCTCCTTAGTATCCAAAAGGGAGCGGAGTTGGAGAATATGCTCCTTAGCATTCGTAGGATGTGATGTTGGAGTAACAACACCCCAATTACTTGTAATTAGGGGAACCAGTAGTTCAGAAGTGGTTTAGGACACCTTAACTGGGTAGTCCTACCATGGATGGTGAGCTTAGGGACCATACATGTGATTTGGTTCTGTGAAATAGCCTACCAATTCGGTCGAGAGTATTAGAGGACTGGATGGTTAGTGATCATGCATGTAACTTATGGTAATTTGATATGGTATGGTTATTTTACTT